TAGCATGTTCATCAGCCTGATGGCCTGTGGGTAGAAACTGTTTGTCAGTCTCGTGGTCCTGGATTTCAGATTCCTGTAGCGCCTGCCTGATGGCAGGAGAGTAAAGAGTCTGTGCTGGGGGTGTGTACTGTCCCTGATGATGTTGTGTGCTCCTGGTGACCCTGGTGGTGTAAATGTCCTGAAGTGAGGCTGGGTCCCCTTTTGCGCGCCATCCCCCTAACGTGAATGCAGCTGGAGAAATATATCAAATGTTACCTAACTGCATCTGGTTCCACAGTTTATTTTCTTCATTACGTGCCATTCTGCTGCATTCTTCTCTGCACTCCAATCACTATTGCCAAACCTTTGCAGGAATGTAAGCAGTCCAGACATCTCTCTCTGAACCCATTAGTTCTCCTTGACCTGTCAGATTTTCCTCGCTATATTCACACACGCTAAATATGATGTCATGCACACTTTAAACTCTTTGTAATTAGCGGAACATTAGTTCCAAGGGTCTGCTTTAATATATGTGACAATGTTAAATAGGATTATGAAGATCTGCAAGGACCTGTGCTACTAGGTCAGTCAAGGAGATGAGAATGAAGTGTACACTTTATAGCCGGAGGCTCCCAGATGTTCAGAGACCATGGTGAACCTCTGCTCACATGGCTTGGGATTCAGGCTGCTCTTAAAGGAACATCAACTATCGGATCAAACTTTAAAGTGCAAAGCTACTTAACAGGATCAGTAGATGCTCATATAACTGGGAACTTGAGGCCTGGTTTTGCAGGTTGGTTGGGTGGTGTTGCATTGATGCAATGAGAAGTAATGCCACAGCATTCAATCTCCTTCATCTAACGTATCCCACATGTCATCAGGGTCCGGGTGGTGATGCGTAGTTAATGTGTTGCTTTGTTGGGCTTAAATGAGAGATGCCAGGCATGCCTACAGTAACAGTCATTTGCATTTGGCTCCCAGTGCTTGGCTACAGATTAACTGAAAGGAGGGTGTACCCTGAGTGCTCGCCACAACCACAATGAGGGAAACAATTATGAAAACTAAATCTGAATGGTTTGAATAGGAGAGGAATTTGCTCGGTGGAAAACATTGGAAACACATAGCTTTATCCTCCATCACACAAACTGTCTCCTTTGTCCTTGGGCAGATCAGCAGAGCCTTCTGTTTTTACTGAACTTATTGCGACAGGAATTTGTGCATGTTTACAAAGTATCGGAGGATTTGGATGTAAAGCCATGACACAGTTTGGTGAAGATTGTATTGTTTGTGTGTATATCAGTGATGATTGTGAATGCCGATCTCGAGCGCCCTAATGCTGAAGGACATGTGACAAATGTTCAGGTAGTAATTCTGTCATAACTTGTGAAGCAGTTTGGAGCAGAGCTGTTCATGTGAAAGCATGTGGCAGCATCACTTCGAGTCATCCCAGTTAAAAGCCTCAGTGGGAACACAGAGACACGAGGCTGCACTCCCGGAGCTTTGCAGGTTGTTTAGAGTACACATGTAACGCAGCTCTCTGCTTTGCTCTCAAATGATCTGCACCTCTTTCCTGCGCGAGCATCACATGACAATGACCTCATTGGTACATGTGTCTGATGAAACTAAGCCTGTTACCTCTGCAGCATGATCCATCCGCTGAGAATGGCCAGGTGGTGATGGTATCATTGAATGTCCTACCTGTTATGAAAGGCACCGCACACAGTGGTGCTCTTCTGTCCTCCCCAGCCCCCGCCAGCTTGTCTAGTCATTTGCCCTTTTCATTTTCATTCCCCGGGCTCTTTATGGGATTTTTTTTTCATTGGATCATGATTCTCAAGGTTATTGTGCAGTTCAGATTTTTTTAGCTAGAGGTGTGCATGTGTGTAAGCACTCCCATCTGCGTGCCTGTGAAGTGGTGGAGCTCAAGTGAGACTTCTTGTCTGGCTGAGCTTGGGGCGATTTAATTTCCTCTTCTCCGTGGTCTCATATTGCTGTTATTACCGCCGATGTTCTGATCCCCCGTGAAGCTAGAAGGATACGTTTCCCTCCCCGGAGAGCCAGGTGGAATTTTAACTACATTACCTGTTTACATGGCTAATATGGACAAGATGAACATGGCGGCCATTGTGAGCACTCTTGCCTTCGAGCTACAGGAACTAGGCTTCAAGTTGGAAATGTTGCAGAGAGGCAACCTGCTGTAATCACACAAGAAAATCCCTGAGTCTGTTTTCCTTTTTTCTTTTGCTCCTCTCGTGCTTCCTTTTAAATGTTCTGCCTCCTCTGATGGGTTCATTATTCTTCCTCTCCTCCTGCCATGTTTAGTTTTTCCTCTCTGCTCCTCTCCACCCAGGGGTATTGCTGCTGTGCGTATGCCTGGCATTGATCGTGGCACAGAAAAGCCTGTTGATGACTGTCTCCATGGAAATGTGGAAGAATATGCCAGTGTCTATGAAAGAGAATGAGATCTCTTTTCATTGTCGTTTGCTTTTCTTTTACCCTCCTTGTTCTTTTCCTTGTGTTTTTAGTTTCCCCCTCCTCCATCACCCCAGCTAGGAAAATTCTCTTTGTCTCCACCTGGCCTTTATTTGTAGGCATTTCCTTGCCGATCTTAATACCCAGATTGGGGGTGGGGGGCTACAGAATTAGGGGCTACTGCTCTTTGTTGACACAGCAGGTGTTGATTTGGCTCCAAAGCGGTTACTTTGTTTGTTCCACCTTCATTCTTGTTGGCACAGAAAGAGCAGAGCAGCACATATTGCTGAAGATAAAGGGAAGGGGCTTTCTCTCTTAAATACATTTTGACTGGTTCAGTGAGCAAGTCCTTAACTTTCAGGAAGGTTCTCCAAGGCCTTTGTTTTTATATTTGACTAGAATGTGTTTTCATGCACAGGCACAGCAGTACATCACTCTTAAGTATGCTAAGATTTTCAGTCTTTTCCTGCACTCTCTTTCTTTCCAGGTGATCCTGTACGCCGGTGACCGGTCCTACGACGACTACTTTGCCCAGATGAAGGGTCGAGTCCACTTCAACTCTGCCGACCCTAAGAACGGCGATGCCTCAATCAACCTGACAGGGTTAAAGTCGGTGGACTCGGGAACCTACCAGTGTAAGGTGAAGAAGGCTCCGGGTATCCGCAGCCGGAGGATGCTGCTGATCGTCATGGGTGAGTGGAAGCAACCTCTCCGCACACTCTGGTGTTAGGCTGCCAGTCTTTGTTTCTCACAGGGTGAACTCTTTCTCTCTACACAGAGGAAAAGCACCAAATCACACGGCCTTTGCCCTCCTTGGCTGTTTTGATGTAATCCCTTCTAAAATGTGCATGACCTTCCTGTAGGCTGTAGAGCATCGCCCCCTTTGTGATACAGTTCTATATTTATCCTAGATGCTCTGTAATTATGTGTAACATGATAATCCGTATTCATCTTTTCACTATATGTTACGGACAGGATTTATAATTTATTCCTGTATTTCTATTAAGTCTTAGTCTCCATTATTGCAGTTAGTGTTTTGCTTTTTTATATAACAAAAGCTCCCATTTCAATTGAATTAAATTCAATTATTGTTGTTAGCTTGCAAATATAAGATTTTAATATAAGATTTATTCTATGATATTAAGCCCGAAAACAATTAATGTTTTCAGGGATTTTTACATTATTGTTCATTTGGAAATGGTAACAGTACAGGAAAAGGTAATTAAACAAATAATCTTGAACATCAAAAATCATTTTCAAAGTGTAAGTAATCCCGTCTTTTAAAAAATGGGAACAAACCTCAGAAATGGAATCTATGCAGTCGGCTGTCTTTTTCTTGCACAGGGTGAGACGGGTGACACATCCCAGTTGTATAAGTCGGATGATTCACTCCTTAGGCACACACGCTCACACACAGTGGCCTTGCTGGTCGGTCAACTGACTAAATGATGTCGAAAGTGAATCGCCTCCTGAAACCAGGCTGCTATTTGCATATGGGAAAAACAACCCACATGCGCTGCACCAGTCTCTGTTGTGGGATAAGCTGCATATTGTGCTGTTATCGCAGCACTGTTATCAGAATAGTTTCTCCTTTCCAAAGATAGGCCGGGCTTCAGAGAATGGCTGCTGATATTGTTGACATGTTATCATGTGCACAAAAAAGGCACTGCACCAACTAGCTCAACCAGAAAGACGAGTTGTGTTGTGGTTCCACTAAGCACTTCTCTAATAGCAGAGATGAATGACCACAGATAATCTGACATTTAACTGTGACCGTAGCTGACACAGGAAGCACTGATAAGCCTTTGGGGAGGTTATTTCAAATTTTAAAAATGGATCCAACCAGAAGCAAGTTGTAAAGAATTATTGCTGCTTAAGTCATCGCTGATTCAAACAAATGCTCGGAAATGTGCTGTGACGGCTTCTCCTCCCTACAACAGTTCCGCATTCCTCGCCACTGAGAGAGGTTAGCAAGCTGCTCATTTTAAAATCCCATCCAAAAAGAAACTAGACTGCAAGTATCATTGTTCAGTTGCAATGTAATATCATACTCAAGCAGTTATATGCTATATATGTGATATTTGTGGCATTTCACAAATGTTTTAAGTTTCTGTGGTAGTTTTTGTTTATTTCTTTGCTTGCAGTTCCTCCAGTCAAAAATGTTTGTAGTTTCTTGAATTTGTTATCTTAGTAGTTTGTGCTTTAAATAATTTGTTGATCATATCCAAGAGCATCAGCTAAGGGACTTAAATGCATATCCCACTTTCATTATAGTTGTAATGCTGATGCTAACAGCCATAGCGTGCATGTGTGTGTGTGCATGAGAGAGAGAGAGAGAGAGAGAGATAGCTCGAGGCTACACAAGCTGACAGCCTTCTAGCTATTGACCCGAGGGGCAGGGGTGGGTTTAGCAGAGACACATTGACAAGGAGAGGGAAGGACATCTTGCCTGCCCTGCATTTTACCTTCAGGTCGATCTTGTCACAAGGTGGATGGTCCCGAGACACACACACACATGCACATGTGTGCACAAACATAAACACACCTCACTTTATACACTGCTTGTTGCTGTGGCTTGTCACAAATACGGCTGTATGCACACATGCTGACACCTGCAGTGCACTTGGTGACCAGGTATAGCGCAGTGGGTAGCCCTTGTTGTGTATTCTCCCCTGGTTGCCCCGGGACATTGAAGTTAACGTGAGGAGAATACCCACCTGCAGTCCAGCACTGCACGTCAGCAACTCTCAACTCCTTCCAACTGATACTGACTAGACCTCACATTAGGTCGGGTAATATGGCTTATAAATATTTCTTTCTATTTTGTAGATGTAAAGCTATTAACCATATGCATCTTAATATTTTTTCTATTTTTCTTTAAAATAACCAAAGCGTTTTATATCTAAATGTTTAATGCGTTTCTAGAAAACGAATCTGAACACTCTGCAGGGGTGCACAGAATGGTCTTTGGTAATGTTCTAATGATAAGATTGATTATTGAACTCTTCTGGGAAATAACGTTTCAGGCATTATTTAAAAAAACAAAAACATTGTGAAACTTGAGTCCTTTTGATTGCTTGTTAACCCGAAGCCACTTTTCTCATCATTTTTAGTATTTTCGTGCTGCCAAGTATATGCAAGCAAACCAGTGTATATAATATAACCAATAATTACCCTTCAATTATCATATATGTGTATCATACGTATAACCATTTTATTCTAACTGGAGTTTGCAACTTCCATTACCGTTTCTGACCTCAATATGAAATCAAAAATTGGCTTGGCACTTCACTTCGCTCTGTTCAGGCTCTTATCCTGTTGAGCTTGAAAGAGCAGCCAGAGAAGCAAAAAAAAAAAAAGCAAGTGCAATTCCAACGGTTTAAATGACGTGATATATTTATACTTGATGTTCATGTAGTAAAACCCACATACAACATGCCGCAATACAGCGATTATAATCAATATATTGCTCGACCCTAACCCCCCATGCATTCGGCAGCCAATCATAGTGCTCTGCATGCTTGATGTTCAGGCATTCCTCCTCACATTCAGTATCTCGCTGTAAAGCTCAAAAGCCAATCTCTTTAATTCATTCTGCCTGGCTTTAGTACCCACTAGTCGCTTATACTTCACTTTACCATTCAACTAGCAGTTGTCAGTTGTGTGCCTCCTCTTGACTGCGAGGAATGCCACAATCTAGCAATCCCTTTCTACTTATCTCCTCCACAAGATAGCCTTGTGCAACTCATAAATCTGAATTCATTGTTCGTATAACAGAGCCAGGTTAGCTGTATCGCGCTGCCCTTTATCTCTCTGTGCTCCTCCAGCCTTCATCACCTTCTTCTTTGACCTCATCTTTTACAAAAATAAATCTGCTCATCGGACAGCAGTCCTAATAAGAGAAGCTGTGTGTTACAGCCCTCGGACGTGTTGAGTCGAGTTGACTTTCACCTTTTAAAAGATGCATTCAAAATGTCATAGCTCTCTTGACATTTACCGTGTGAATGTGTGTGTGTGAGGTGCAACACAGCGGCAGCAAAAGCAGGCCCGTGAGTTAGGAGCTGCATAGCCTTGGCCCCATCACTCCGCCATCTGTCCGTCAATGCTCGCTTAATTCTTGCTCTCCCCAGCTCTCTGTTTTGCCCCCTCCGCCCTGACCCCCTGTGTGTTTATTAGATTAGCAGGAGCGCTGAGTGCTGGCAGTCTACTGTTAATCCTCAAGTTTATACCTGCTAAGCTTCCCACCCACATGACACCTGGTTTAGATGTGGAGAGCCCCACATCAGGGTTCTGTTGTTACACGACCCACCATTACCACACCAAGATGTCAGCCTTCTGTCAGCGAACACACAACACAGACTTGGAGAAACATTACCTCTCATAGTCCCTTTCTCTTTTTCTCCCCCTCCCCCTTTCTCGGCTGGCTGACTGTGTGTCTGGGTTTCATTGGAGTCGGCCTGCTTTTAATTTGAAGCGCTGTTTGTTTTTGAATCCCCCATCTCATCTCCTGCCAGCGCTCTGACTGGCCAAGGAGTGTTTGCACACGTTTGGCTTCAAGACAGAAAGCTTTGCCTCCATCCTAAACCCTGAAGGCTACGTGCACGTGTGTTTGTGTGTCCAATGACACACGTCTCCCTTGTTCCCTCATGATTATCCTGAGTGACAGCTCCTGTAATGACAGCAGCTGTATCAATTACTCTGATTACGGCTCTAATTACGATAATGATTGCTACTTCGAGCTAGGGAGGAAATGAACTTTCGGAATACACAATACACATGCACAACTTGCCCACAACATGAAAGATTGAAAAAAACACGGTTGTACTCAGGAGGGCTGTTTATAATGCTGCCACCTGGTTGTTATTATTATTATTCTTCACATCTCTCAATCATTTTCCCCATTCCTTTTCTCTCCACAGTGAAGCCATCCAAGCCCAGGTGCTACGCCGAAGGCCCCACACAGGAAGGTAAAGACATAGTGCTGAGGTGCAAATCCAACGAGGGCACCAACCCCCTGCAATACAGCTGGGAAAAGACCAGCGGCGGCAAGCTGCTGCCCAGCTCCGCCGTGTTGGGTAAGCTCTACCAAACAAGTGGAAAATCAGTTTCCGCACACAGATCCTCTTTCTTTGTAACACTGTATATATATATATTCTTTGATGGGTTCTTTGCCCTCACCACAGATTCAGTGGGAGGCACCGTTAACGTGAGGAACGCATCTGCCGGCGCATCTGGCTCCTACCGCTGCATTGCCAGCAACCGTGTTGGCTCTGAGGAATGCACACTGTACCTCAACGTGACACCTCGTGAGTGCCCAACTAACTTCACCTTGATGGACTTTCACATTTAAACCTGTTGCTCTGCTGTCTGATGGTCAGCTGGATAATGCGTTTGCTGCAGTCAAAAAGTACTTTGAGCTAAATGTATCATCAGCATGCTTTAGCAGGTATAATGTTTACCGATTTAAGCATGCTAGTATTTACTGCCTGAAAACACAAACTACAGCTGAGCCGTACAGAAGTATTGTATCAAGAGTCTTGATTTATCCAAAAGTCAAAAACCTAAAACATTTTATTATTAAACACAAATGTTACATTTAATATAATTATTTGAAAAAAACTACAAATTCTCAGAATTAAAATTTGGGAACCGTCAAATGTTTTATAAATCAATTGACTAATCAATGTAGCCCTAGTTGCGATATTTAAGTCTGGTTGAAAGTGTCAACAGACTGCCATGTTATTACCATGAAGCCATCCCACTAATATGGCTAGGAATGTACACCTCTCTCTTCCTGTGACTGTACCAGTGGTACATGTATCAGTGCTAGCAAGTGTACAGTCTAAGCTCAACTGTGTTCCATATTTACTCCCCCACAAACAGTCACTTCAGTAAAATCCTACTGCTGTTCCCTCATTAGGCTAAGCATATACAGTAGTTGCTCAATGCTAAAACCACCTGAACACATGATCAAAGAAGCACTTTGTCTTAGGAGATAATTAGCAGTATACTGTATTTTTGTTATTTTGTAGGAGGCAGACCCATATTTCAAGTCATTGCTACCCTAGTGACATTAAGCAAACATAAACCCTTTCCTTCCTTGTCATCCAGCCCCCAACACTGCAGGCATCATCGCAGGGGCCATTATTGCTGTCCTCCTGTTCCTCATCATCATCGCCATCATCCTCTTCTGCTGCTGCCGTGCCCGTCACAGGAAGAAGTACGAGAAGGAGATCTGCAATGAGATAAGGTACATTCACTAAAACATCAACGACACCCCGCACAGATACCTGAAGCTCCATTTTGATGGAAGTACATTTTGTAACACTGTGTAGACTTTGTTATACAAGAAAGGTGGGTTTGGTTGTTTAATACTGGATCAAATGCAAGCCCAAAAAAGGCCATTGGTAATATACGCAATATATCGTTTCAGCTTTTATAGCACACACTTGTTAATAGATCAAGTCTCTTTATATTGCATTCAAATGGCACTAGGTTAATAAAGAAAAACATTTAGGAGAACATTTTTATGATCCATAAATATATTGCATTGGAGAAAATCCACTATATTTTCAATTTGAATTTCCACTATAGTGCAGCCAAAGTTACTGGTGATTATTACTGTCAGCTCTTCATGTAGTACGACCTGCAGTCAACTTGAACACACGCACACGCACACTCGCCCTTGCACTAATGCAACAACACGTCTCCAACAGCCATGAAAATGGTTTTTCTCTATCAGCGTTTTCCTTTTTTTTGTACCCCTCCTCAAATAAACAGCTGTGGTAATCAGTTTGAAAGCTTTGTTTGCTCTGTGGATCCTGTGTAATGTCTGCTGCTGGCTGCCCCCCGCCAACCCTCCAGAGCCACCTACCCTAACCCCCCCTCACCATCCAACTGTCCATCCAGCCCGTGAGCTCAGCTCAACCCCCGGGCTTACTATCACTCTGCTACGGACTGAATCTGTCTGAGACCACAATGTGACACTGGCGCTGTAGGACAAAGAGGATTAGACCACTAGTCCTGTCTCATACACACAGACACACCACCACACGAAGCTATGGACTAAACAAGCTCCAGTCCCTCAGGCTCAGTTTGATTGAGCATTTAACTGGATTATTGCTGCTTATTAGTTGTTAATGTGGTGGCAGAGGGAGAGCAGGGCATCGCTGTGCTGGGATGTTCAACTCTGTCTCTACAGTCAGTGCACACTGCCCCAGCCGATCATAGGCCAACTCCAATTATTTGTCCCTCCTTTATCGAGTCAAATTATGTTTCGCTCTTGAAATGACTCATGCAGACTTCTTTAGTATTCATTGTTTTCCCCTCCGTTGGGCAAATCGTTAAAGAAATCCCCCCCCCCCCTTTTATTCCTGTGCATCATCAAAGTTCCTTTGGTTTATAGCACCTGAGAGAATCATTTCTCACATTAATGTTCTCTAAATGGCTAGGGCTCCATGAGGAATAACAGGAATGCAATGGAAATGTAGTTTTTTGCACATGCTGTATTTACCATGTCATGCAGATTTAAGTACACATTTAGAAATATACTGTATAAGCAAACATAATCCATTCATTAAAAATACAACATTACCTTGCACTAAACTGCTTTTTGCACTGCTGGTTATTAAGTCGTTTCAGTGCAAGTATTCTGACAATGAAAAGTAATGTCATTCAAAAAGAAAAGAAAAACATTGTTGTCTAAATGTACTGCTGTCTTGTTTCCTTTCAGAGAGGACGTGCCGCCTCCTAAGAGTCGTGCTTCAACGGCGCGCAGCTTCACCGTGGGCAGCCAGCGCTCCTCCCTGGGCTCCATGTCACCCTCCAACCTGCACGAGTACGCCCTGAAGCCCCAGTACGACAAGATCCCATCAGATGAGTACGAGAGGCCTCCCAGCTCGGTCCCTCTGCCCCCACCCACTGCTACCAGGATGGCAGGCCCCAACCTCAGCCGCATGGGGGGCATCCCCGTCATGATCCCTGCCCAGAACAGGGACGGCTCTATCGTCTAGCATTTCCACTTCTCCAGGGGGGGCCATGCGAGGGGATGGGGACGGAGGAGGGAGTGGGACATAGCCAATGAAGACGGAGCAAGAGCTGGGGTGGACTGACTCGCCTGACTTAAGCTCAACATTGATTACAAACGGGAGTTTATCTTCTTATGAAGACCTGGCTCTGCTGTGGTGCTGAAGAGAGAAAATTGAGATTTACTGGAATCACAACAGAGCACATTAACTTTTTATCAAATAGAAATATGTAAAAAAATGAAAGGAATTTTACTTCCTGGACTTTCTCACTGAAACATGAATTAGTGTGGATTTTAAGCAAAACGGTCAATATACAAATTATATTGTACATAAGTGAATGCATGTTTTTTTAATTAAATATAGATGGCCCTTGCTGTAGAGATACTTAGTGTTGAAATCAGATTGAGGCCCCTAATTGTACAGCTGTATGCATGCACGTATGTATATAACTGCAGCTGTGTGTGAATATAAGTGTATGTTTCTGAATGGGAGTTTGGGAAATGTATTGTTCATTTATCGTCTTTTTAATAACTCCATAACAGTAATATCATTTTGTCAGGCAATCTTTTAGTTTTTGACATTTTTAATTCCATTGGTAAACAGGATTGTTGACCTTTTAGAGAAATTGAAGGATGAACTTTTTGAAGGAAAAATAAGTGTATTTAGGACAGCCATTTTCTGTTAAACAGTATGCTGTTTTGAATTGTCCAGTGTGGTGGGGAGGGGCACACAGGATTAGCTGATGGGGGTGAGGGGTAGGTACCACCGCATCTTGTGATTGGGTGGATTATTGCCCCTTGACGAAGCTTAAGAAACAATAAGAGAGCGCCATCCCTCCTCCTGAGATCTTAGAGGAGGTAGTGTAGAGGAGGGGAATAAGAGGGGCAGCTGGACAGGCTTCACCGAACAATCTGCTTTGATTGTGTTTGACTGTCAATAGGCCCTAACCCCTGCCACCACCGCAACATGTATCCCTCCACACACACACACGCACACGCACAAGCATCAAGTCTTAATTCATTATCTGCATGATCAGCCCCCCCTCCCCCAGATGTCCAGCATATGCAATTCTCATTTGCAGTTGCATTACAAGGAACCGATATCGGGATTAACCTTCTCTCTGTGGTCAATGTGGAACCTTTCACGGCTTCTGTAGCATTAATTGGACTTTATAATGAAGGAAGTGAAGCCTGCCGACATGAAGAAAGTGCCCGCAAAGAGGAACAAATGAGAAAAGCCTTAAGAATGCTGGATATTACTGAATTCACTTTACAACCACTTTGGTTTGAGTTCATTGTGCAGTTCAGCGCTGGATAATCGTAATGTTCGTTCAGTCCGTCAGTCAGCGCAAGTTGCCATAGCTCGCAGTTATTCTTATCTCAAACCATGCCCATTCTTCCATCGTTTGCTTACATATTTTGGAAGCCTAACTTCTCAACTTAAAAAACCCAGTATGGGTACTTGGATGGGGCAATCTGTGTTTGAATGCCTTGTTTTATTCTTTATTGCAGCCTTACACACCTCCCTCAGTTCCGCTCTGCACAGCCCTAACAGCTGGGTTCAGATAACTCCTATTGTGCCTTGTTGCCCCAGTTGAGTTGAGCCATAGCACGTCGCCTATATGCGCTGTGTTATGTGCAGAAGCTTCCTCCGAGTGACCGTCATAGCCCACAGTCACTAAAACAATATAATATTCAGCACACAATGAGCCTATTGATTGTTTCTGTTTGGGTCAAGTTTAGGGTTTTCCACAATCCACCTACTGTTCACAAATCCCACATAGCGTAAAGCTTTGATTTTATATTCCTAACAGAACTTCATGTTATGTTTAGTTTTATAACTTTAAGTAAATTTTACGTGCTTTTAAACGACAAACATTATATATATAAATATCCTGTTGGAGTTACCCTATCTAATCATAACACAGTTGAATGATATAAAAATGATGTTTGTATGTACGTATATGTGATACTCTGCCGTGCTGTGCTTGGCAAATCTATCTATCTGAAACGAGAGAAGGGTCAGTGTGGGTCTTGACAGTACAGTATGAATGCTCCTTAGTATGAGTGTGAGTGAGTGACCTCTACGTTTTTTAGTGTATATTCTGGGATCTAAGGGGAGCTGACAGTTGTAGAAACATCTTGGCACTGGTACTTCCCGGTAGATTTGTTGTCACACCTATTTTCTAAGACCAAGGAAAGTGAGACCCGGGCCTGCCCAGACAAAGACACTACGTCTGTCAGTTTCTCTTCTACACTAATGTGTGTGATAGCAAGTGAATTGTACATGAAGGAGTTTGTTGTCAGGACGGGCCCCTCTAAAATGTAGTTAGGCTTTCACCTGCTGACAAACTGTACCGAGTTGTTAGGGCGATGGTCCTGTTGCTGTCCCCTATGTGCTCACATTAACTACTAACAATATAAACTGTAGCTTTGAAATCCGAGTACTAATATTGTATGAAGATCTCCTTTGACGTTTGCACACCGTGTGGAAACCTTTTTCTTTCTTTTTTTCTGTGTGTATTTTTTGTGCTGTATTTTTGAATAATAAAAGTCCTTGAAATTAAGAAAGAATAGCCAGCCATGTTTGTTTGTTTACTGAAGCAGTTGCAGCTTTGTTGACTTGAGCGTGAATAAAATTCAATTTATCTCCTCTCCAGCGGCGCGTGTTCTCCTGGGACTCGGCTTCTTGCAGCTTTTTGACAGTGATTAATTTTAATCAGCCATTGAATTCCACCCCTCACACCAGGTGAGGTGACTTTCTAATGGCTTAATGATTGTAATGAATCAATTAAGCCAGCCTGCTGCCTCCAATACTCGCCATTCAGCTTCAGGATAAACATGCAAAGGTTTGTGACATGGCTCGCCTACCAGCACTGTTAATATCCTATACACCATTTCAACATAATTGCATTGCTAGGCAACTGCTCCATGACTACTTCCTGTCAGCTGATGTCAATCGAATAAACTGCAACAGGAAATAAACTGGGACACATAGATTGTTTAACAGTGTGAAAGGCTCTATATATAGGCTTTATATCGTTTATATACTGGCTTCTTACTGACATATAGCCACTCCCCTGCCACACTGTATTGTCCCTTAGCATCATGGCCATTTGTGTCAACATTTGTCTAGCTTTTTTTTCAATTACAGCCAATTACCCCTCTTCGTTAATGTGGTGGGTAATTACTTTCATTGCAAGCCAGCACTAATCAAAGTTGTACAAAATTAGCCTTCTAATTAAGCTTGCTGAACGGTGGGAAATGCCTAGTTAATGAGTGAGGGGCAGATCATGCACATGTTGGCGTTCCATGTTCCTGTCGCCTTCCTCACACTCTTTATACACTTAAATACATGCTGGTTATCTTGACATGTGGATAGATCGATTATCAGCCAATAGCTCCACTGTGTGCAGGCTGCTGACAGGTAGTCAATAAAAAGACTAAAGCACTTAGTAGCAGTGCTAAGCGGACGTCCATTGCTATAATTGGATGTCAGTAATAGATAGGGCCCCAGAGCATTGATCTGTGGCCAGTCTGAAGTCCCTGTGGATTCTAATGGCTCCCCAGCAGCTCTGGACAGCAGGGGTTCACTTCTGCGCGGCTCTGTTCAGCTGCAGTGATACTACCAGTACAATCACAACCTCCCTACTAATGGATGTGGCGGGGTATAATGGCACGTTTATGGCCCTGCATTTAAAACATTCATTAAAAGGATATTAGCGATATGTACTACTTCCTGTGTGCAGATTAGATTTATGAACTAAAGGCTGTTCTCATTGAATTAATGTACAATTAATCATACATCATCCCTCAGTGTCTTCCAGCCCAATATCCATTTGTGGTATTATTATTTTTTACCTCATGTCCTCGTTCACGTAGCTGAAGGGAGAGAGTGTTGTGCTAAGCACCTGGGGATTTGTGCCTGCCTCCTACTTCCCTGGCTCCCTCCCTTCTGCCTGGATAATGTATTAATTGTTTGCACAGATCAAGGAGGTTGGAATGGCAAAAAAAAAAAGCTCATTGGTTCTCCAGAAGGGTTTCCTTGGCAACCTTATCTGGTTGTACACAGTCTAAGCCAGCTGCTAGCGGGATGATTTATCTTGTTAAGCGTGATTCGCTCCCTGCTAACAAAAGAGACCTCTAAAAGCATGGGTCTCATGAAAGTCGCTCTCTTCCAGTATGACGTCTGCTGTCACAGACGATAAGCTTTCTGCCATTTTTAGAAACCTCAGCCAGGTTGGGAGCGGGTTGCATGGGGAATTCTGGGTAGGATAGAGGAAGATGCATATGTATGAAGGGCGGGCTCCATCATCTCCGTTGGCACAGCAGTACATTAACATTTTGGCTCGGTACTCATAGCACTCTGAATGTGTAATATGACACAGATTATGATGTGATTGTAAGCTTTTGCAGCTACATTGGATAATTGACTGGGTAGCAAGAGCTATTTTTGGACCTGCATGGTCCCTCTATTTTCTCTTACAGCAGTATTTAGATAGATGCAGTAATCTTGGAATAATTCTAAAAGCCATTAATTTGGGTGTAAAATTCTCTTTATCTTTCTTTCAGCATTCTTGTAGTAGGATAGGATAGTTTGGATTGTTTGAAGAGGGGATGAATGAGGTACTTATCCTTAGCCAGCCTATTACCTTCAGGAGATGGTAGTTGGCACACCCCCAGTTTAGAGAAACAAAAAGAAATATTGGCACAGAAGCTGAACAGTGTACTACTGTGGATTGGGGCAGCATCTAAATGTATTTAGCCACCTAAAACATATAGATATCAAGCTACATTTTGAATTATTTAACTATGATAACCATCTACTTTTATGTGCTCTCGCCAAAGATACCATTGAGTCCATTGATAATAACCTTATTTAACCTTGTAGAACACAGGAATTGGACTGACTAGAATACGGTGTGTAATCTCTGTGATATTGCCCACAGGTTTCTGAAGAGATGTTGTCAAGCTTAAAGTGGGCACCGAGCAGACAGCTAGTAGCAACCCTGAAATAGCACCCATAAGTCACTCAAAGTGGCCATGCCCTTAATAATGCACAACTTTATGCCTGAATATGAGGCATGAGTTAAATACAAATGTGATACTTCCGCTTTATTTATCAGCACAGATGTTGATGCTACATTGCAGGTCTAGTGCTGCTTCGATTGGTTAGTTGCTTGTGTTATTCGGTGACTTGGGTGATTCCAAAACCCTGTTAAACACCAAAGTATACAATCTAACCACTCAAGGCAGCGGTAGACCTGCAGCTTTGGCGAGAGAATGGAACAAGGGCTGTCTGATTACTAGTTTAGGTTGTAAGAATATTTTAAATATAGTGTTTACTTTTACAGATATTGATTTGTTTCAGATGGCTAAAATCCTTTTTACTGCAGCCCCTCAATACATCAATACAGCCTAGCTTCTGTGCTGCTAGTCATTTTGCTCCAAGCTATAGGTTATACACTGACATACAACCCCACTTAGAGCAATCCGAAATATCCCTTTAATGATCATAATATTAGTATAACACATGTGGGAGGCTGAGCAGGTAAATACATGTAGTTATTTTAACATCGCAACCACTCTGTGTGACTTTTGTTAAATGAAAGCTGACAGTCTGATCTTTAAATGCACTGTCACTGTGCCATGTGAAATGAAAAGGAATCGGAGAAGGAAGCACAAAATCAATGTGTCACCATGCAAACACTCACGGCACTCAACCTTACATCGCCTTGAACAACCTGCATGTTGTGGCTGGAGACAGCGGAGGATATTCTGCAGAGAGGGAGTCGAGTCCAACCTGAGCCAATCTCCCCACTTTGTCTGCCACGCCTGCAGACAGCCCAGATTTCTCAGGAGGCCTACCCAGCTGCTGTGCACTAATTTGTCAGTCGTCCCCATCTCCCGGCCTGGGTGGAGTAGAGCTCTGGCACAGCATCCGACACCCCTCCCTCCCCACCTCTCCTGTCCTTCCTTTGGTCGATATGGAGTCATCTGTTAAGGGCCAACCTCTACGCCTGCTGCATCTCAGCATCGTTTTGGGTCACTATTTCGACAATTCGCTGCTCACATGTCTATGAGTAATATGTGACTTTTGATGGATGACCTTCCCCTCTGTGCCAAGATCCCCCTCTCTCTGACGAGACTTTGTCTGGAGAGTTTCATGGATCAGTGAGATGACGCACATCAGCAAATGTGACATTTTATCCACATTGCGTATAGCGTGAGTAAAAGAGAGAGCAGCACTTGGCTCCTTACCACAGGAGACACCCCGCTTGTGGGGAAATTAACATCTTCAGAGATGCCCCCCACCTGCTGCCATATGCTGCTGGAGAAGAGAGGAGAATACAAGAAGGTTCAGAGGCAGGACATTCGGTTCAATATCTCTCACTGATATACTGTAGTCTACACTCTCACTTCCTTTGATCTTTTCTTATCTTCTTCTAATCATTTAAGATGAGAGATTAGAACCAGTGGAGCACCTTGGTTTAAGACCAAGATGGAGGTTACACAGTGCAACTCCACTCAGTCGTTTACAATGTGATTTGTACTTTTAATCTGCACCTCGGCTGGACTCTATTATAGGTGATCATCCTCCAATGCCATGTCATCAAGAAGGTGCAATGGAGGCCAGCAATAAAATGTAGCCTTGGCAAGGGAAGGGGCTGAGTTTCCCTTTTTTCTCCCTCTGATGATTGGGGTCATCTCTATTATTACCACAGTGATGTCAGTGATATATCAAATGTGTGTCTTCCAGTGTTCATACGTGTTAGTGCTGTCCGTGTGTATCCATGTCAGTAGCATTACCCTTAGTGGCCACAGTGAGGACAAAGGTCAAGGTGGTGATTTAACAGGATGGGGCAATCCCTTTTCCTTCAGCAGAGCAACAACCCCCCCTATCTCAGGCTATTTTCAGCTCAGCAATTAGACAATGTTTCTCTTCATGCTGGACACGTACTTCAGGCCACCTTCACAGACTGAATCCTCCCCTCCATGCAGCACTCCAGATGTCACAGGTGCAGCATGAGATTGAAGCTTGGTACTGGGTTTGGAAGTATAAAAGAGGATGGGATAAAGCGTTGAAAGAGGGCTCACATTCATTCCTAGGAAATGGGCTCAGTGGTGCATAAAGCCAAACATTTTCACGGCCGAGTATACATTTGCCCGGAAATGTCATTTTCTGGTTATTCATCGTTGTGCAATTCCCATTAAAAAAATTTGCCTGGATTTTGTATTCCCAGGAATTAAAGCAAACACTATTCGCACGCAAATAGAATATTATATCATACAGAATATGATTAATTTTGACATTTTTGTTTTGTTGTCAATATACATTAGATTCCTATTGCACTTCATACAAAGGTTTTTTAAATGATGTTGCTTGTGGATACTGAGACAACTAAATAACAGGAACACTTCACAATAAAGTGTAAGCT